CGTACACTGTAGACTTTATATCAATAATTTAACCAAATAAACTTCTTATCGGCTGATATTGAGTCGTTATTCGTTATAAGCGGATTTTTTAAACGGTCTTTATACTGAGTATGAACCCGTCGAAACTATGGACCGATAAAATGTTTATAATATATTGCGTGCCCATACAATACTTAGCCCACAAGCGTTTGGATTAAGTGCACGCAATGAATATTAATTAAAGAAACCTTTGGAAGTATATATATTTGGAAGTATATTGACTAATAAAGTACCTATATTTTACGTTTAACTGTTAGTTTTGACATAAAAATATTTTATGACTAAAGAAATATGTAGTTTAGGCCTAAAATTTAAAATTCCATATTGCTATCTATCTATACATATAATAAAATAGTAACATTACAGCAATCATATTGCAATCAAAATAAATCCGCAAAAAATTCGAAAAGACTTAAAAGGTCAAATATTTGCGTAAATCTAATAAAATATTTCATTATTGGTCTAAAATGATGTTGGATAGTCACGGAAAAAAATATTTCAGCGTTTTTTTTCAACCGACTTCAAAAAGGAGGAGGTTCTCAATTCGACTGTATTTTTTTTAATTCAATCCCTTTAAGGTCTAATGGGGTTTGAGTGTTTATATTTATTTGTTTACCATAGTAATATTTTTGGTGTAAAATTAAAAAAATACAGCCAAGCCAAGGAATCCCTGAACGATATCGATCCGCTAGTATGAATACATTGCAACTCTGCTCTGTTAATCTATTTAAGGAGTCAGCCCACTACACCGTCTCATACCATGACCTCGCTAGGACCGTGTTAGGCAAAAAATATTCTTTGTATTGAAAAGTAGTGAGACTCTGCCCACTAGACTGTTCCGTCACCGACTGGCACCGTCGCGTGCCGTGCACGGAGCGGTAACAATAATTTTTAGTTAAATTGCGTCTAAAGAAAAAAAGTGTTAAGGTGGTGCTCTGCACCAACTTCAAGCACGCTGAGACGGACGACTTGCGGTATTTATCCTACTCTTAATCTGTGTGTGGTACCTACCATTCAAATTACTGTTTAAAAAAATAAACTATCATAGTCAAGGTGAGCGAACATTATTTTGTCTTACAGAGGTTATTGGTAATTTCATTGTTGTGATAATATACTACCATACCTTAACAGGTTTTAGATCTTTACATTTTTTTAAGAATAACTCATAAAAATATCTAAAAACAACACATCACTTACTTTTTATTTTGTTTTTTTTTTTAAACCTTCTTCTCGTAAATTCTTCTAATCGACGACGATTTTTTACTTTTGAGTTTAATTGAGTAATCAAATGAACGACTCAATCTCAGTATTGTCCTCGTTAGTCTATCTGACATTGATAAGTAAATTGCCATCTACTGACACGATCATTTCATAATATAAGGCGAATGCACATCTATTGAGACAGATATAAAGGTATTTTTAATACTTTCTTAGATTTAAGCGAATATTTGACATTTTAAATGAAACGTCGGGAACCAAAAATCATAATAAGTCCGCGAAATAATCCGAAAAGATAGTGGTATTTTATTTTTGAAGTTTCAGGTCATTTATTTAATTATGTCTCTTTAAATGTAAATAAATAACAAGCGACCTACCATCGCCTCGCTCGGGTGCGTTCATACTACGTTTTATGTAGATAAAAATAGTTATTGTAAACGTACATTAGGAGATAGACACTCATGCTGTGGCAGACTTTTTTAGTACATTGTTTTGATTTATCTCTAAAGATTTAGCCAACCTTATAATCGTACGAAGACAGTTTTTCGTGAAAATATTTACAAATTATATACACCTTACTCGTTTGTCGTTCCTTCTATTAATGAAAACGGTATCAAAATCCGTTGCGTGGTTTAGAAGAAATACTTAAGCGGAGACATAACAGACGCAGAAGTGACTTTGTTTTTTTATATGTATATATATAGATATTATGTTACATTTGGCCTTGATACTACAGTTATAGTCATCATATATAGTTATGTACCTAAGTAATAAATTTTAACAACAACACACAAAAAAATTGATGCCTAAATAAAAAAAATAATTATGTACCTATATAGTCATTTTTGTATATACTACTCATCAAGCCACATGTAATTTATAGCTATGCTAGCAAAACCTGCGGCTTCGCTCGTGCTAAAACTACAAAACAAATTCTAAAAATGTAGGTACCTAGGTTTCATACAAACTTTCATCCCCTATTTAACCCCCTTTTAGGATGAATTTCGAGAAATGCTAAAACACGTATTTATTTATTTGTATTGAAGAGCATTAATACCAAGTTTCAAGTAATTCTGATCAGAAATAAATTTTTGGATTGTATTATAATGTGTTTTCCCGTGGGAATGAGATGATCTTCTGGGATAAAAAGTAGCTTATGTCACTATCCACCTCTCCAACTATGTTCATACCAAAAATCACGCCAACACATCAATCCGTTTCGACGTGAATGACAACTCTGATATTTTCATGTGCCAATCATTTCCAACATGATTACCATTTGTCTTACGGCGAAGGGAAACATCGTGAGGAAATCTGCATGTCTGAGAGAACTTTACAAGTTTTCGATAGTCAGGTGCAGTCCGCCAAACCGCACTTGACTTACGATATTATCTTTTAATTATATAATACCTTTAATCTATATGCTTTGAATGTTCTTTAATTAATCACATTCCGCAAGTGCCTCAGTACTACCAAGGCATCCACTTTACTTTTATTATTGTACGTTTTACGTATGAGAGACCGTTGCGCATAACAAGAATGTATAGAATACTAGCGGCTCGCACTCGCTTCGCTCGGGTTCGCCTCTAGAAAAACAAAAACAAATCTGTCCCTCGGGAACCGTACATTTTTCCGGGATAAAATGTAGCCTATGTGTTATTCTGATGTATGAGCTATATTATTGTTAAGTTTCATTAAAATCCAATTGAGTAGTTTTTGCGTGAAAGAGTAACAAACATTCATACATCTATAATTCTATACATACAGACATCCATACATCAACACAAATTTCGCATTTGTAATATTAGTAGATTTACAATTTTCGTTGTGAAATGCTTTTATTTAAAAAAAATAACGTGTACATATACATACTTCATTATAGATAATCGGTATGATAAAATTTAATACTAATTAAAGTATAAACTCTACAGAAGCCGTGAGCTCTTACTAACAAGCGAACCATATCCAATGCTGGGCAGAGGCATACCTAGTTTTTCTTAGTTTTTATACTTTTACTCTTAGCCAATTTTAAATTAAACCAAGGACATACAAAGATCATTTTGCTTATAAATTATAGTGTACTGCGCTAAAATATAGTAGAGGATCGAAAGATAGGAAGCGTCGTGAGTGGAAGATTTATACCAATTTGCTGCGTGCATATTATTATGAGTGACACGTATTGTGAATTGTAATAGGGAACCTTCCAGATGGTATCGTTATAGAAAAGGTCATCTAGCCAAAGTTAATGTATGTTTGCAAGCTATAAATATTTTAAATCATTGAAATTCAACTTAAAATGTGTATTCAGCACTTTTTGATTACCCACTGTTTGGGTCCACCACACTGGCAAAGTCGGATTGGCGCGAGTCACGGGATTTAAATCCGCCTCACTAGATTTCCTAAGCAAGAGCGTCACCTAGGCTACCACTGCCTTTGATACTTGAACTGATACAAATTATATATTTTTTTTATTAACGCTCGTCCAATGATATCAACAAGTATCCATACTTAATATTATAAATGTGAAAGTGTGTTTGTTTGTTTGTCCTTCTTTCACGTCGAAACGGAGTGCTGGATTGGCGTGATTTTTTATTTGAAGATAATTGGAGGACTGGAGAGTGATATATGCTACTTTTTACCGCGGGAGATTATCTAATTCCCACGGGAAAACACGTTATAACACAATCCAAAAAATATTTATGATCAGAATTACTTGAGATTTGGCATTAATGCTCTTCAATAAAATTAAAAAAATACGTGTTTTAGCATTTTTCGAAATCAATCCTATAAGGAGGTAAAATAGAAGATGAAACTTTGTATGAAACTATATTAGAGTTATTTTTGTAGTTTAACCGCGCGCGACGCCGCGGATTCTGCTAGTATTGTATATATTTGTAATAAAGATATTGAACTTTACGAAATTATAAAACAACCTGATTTAATCGTATTCGTGAAATTAAAATTGTAACGTTCAAAAGATTTATGCTACACAATGAACATGTTTTTTAATATGTTATCGTTAACATATTATACGCAGTATTATTAGTAACATATTATGTGCTGTATATTTTTATATAATGCTTAAAAAGTCGTAAAATAATAGCATTTACGATGCTAAAACTGATAGATCACGTAATAACAGATGAATCTCTATAAGATACTAGAAAATCGGTTTACAAAGTAAACGAAATAATATTAATATTTCTCTAGGAAACAGATTGAAGTGGGTGATTTTTATGTGTTAATCTAGTTTTAGTTAGAGAGTAGTTAGAGTTTTCGAAAGACATGTGAAGTCCGCCAACACGCACTTGGCCAGCGTGGTGGACTATGGCCTGATCCCCCTCGTATTGAAGGGAGGCCCACACCCAGCTGTGGGACGTTAAAAAGGGCTGAATACAATCGAATTTTCAACATAATAACAGTTACTGACTGTGACATGTATATTTATATACTACTTTAGCCTTTAAGACGAGACCAAGGCTATTTATAGTAACCGCAATGTAAATCGCGTGTATCTAAGTGAATTTTTTCTCTAATATTCTAACAATATTATAAAAAATATAATATGGTATCTAGGGCGAACTTGAACGAAGTGAGACAAAACCTCTACTTGATGATATAGAAGTTTGATAGATGAAGTACATACACCTCAAAGTAGAGTTAGCTGAAAATAATTTGACAAGTGTGTATTTTGCAAAATTTTAAAATGATCAATCTTATCTATATATATATTTTTATTTCAGGACGGACGAGCAAGGCATCGGCATGAAGTTTTACCAGGGTGTGATAATGACCCTGGAGGTGATCATGGTCATCATCAAGATGTATGCGACCTGGTTCTACTCCATGTACAAGTTCTTCGTACCTCCCGAGCCTAAGAGTGTTAAGGGAGAAATCGTACTTGTAAGTAAAACTTGATTTTCTATCCATATGCCAATAATTTTTTTGTAATTCCTTAAAAAAAATTCATCAACTATATTATAAACGGACTGAAATTGTAGTGTTAAAATTGAAATACAAGCAACTGTCATTTTTAGGGTTCTGTACCCGAATGATGGCAACAGAACCCTATAACTTAGCCTCCGCTGTCCGTCCGTCTGTCAGAGGGCTGTATCTCATGAACCGTAATATGTAGAGAGTTAAAAATTTTACAGAGTATGTATTTGTATTGGCGCTATAACAACAAATTATTAAAATAAAAAAAAATACAATAAAAAAATATTCACCTTCGTAATCGATTATCGAAGTTAATATACTACATACCTATGTACACATTTTACAAGTCCTATTAATAAAAAATACATATACGATGGTACGGAACTTTTCGTGTGCGAATTAGACTCGCACTTGACCGATTTTATAAAATTATTTATTTTAATCTTTGATTAATTTTTTAAGTATATTTTATACTTTATTCCATTATTCTCAATCAATTTGTTTGTGACGATTTTTAAAATTGATTCTAGCGAATGTCATAAGGCGGAAATAGCACATATCGGTTATTCTCAGATAAAATTTGTATGAATGAAATGTAATGAAATATTGACTGTAATATCAAATGGTATGACACAAACAAATGAGTAAATAAATTTTCTTTAAGTTAAAAACAATTCACTTTCTAGATCAGTCTTGAGTATTCTATAAATTGACTAACACATTGGTCCTAAATTCCGTTAAAGGCCACAATATATAAATCGTTTTGTTATGCTTCACGGAATTTATTACGTGACCTTACAAAAAACGACGATAATCAAGCGGGTTATATTTGTTAAAATTGTCTGTCTGTCGGTAACTTTTATAAAAATCAATAGTTCCTCTAAAATATTTTCTTAGATCGGAAGCATTTTACTTACTATATACCATAACCATAAACAAAGTCGCTAATTCGTTCATGACCATAACTTTCCATAACAAAGGGTCGCATATTTACTTCTCTGAATAAAAAAGTGACGTTTTTACATTGCAATGTATTCTGGTTGAGATGCAGCATACACCACATCCGCATGCCGTATGTCTCTGCTAGACTTAATAATTATGGAAAGTTTTTATGGGACTTTGTTTTATGTCTGACTATAAATTTTCCCTAGCTTCGCTCGGGTGCCCTAGCATACGGTATAGTGTTACTACAATTTAATAGATTTCTCAATATTTTTGTGTTGAACATATTTTCAATTTTATTTATTTTATTTGAGTCCGTTACATTTTATTACATGAATAGATTAAAGAGAATACAATAGCAATAATAAATATTCCAATTATGGAACATAAAGACCAATTCAACAGTTTTTACAGTTAAAATAACACTTTACGTCAAGGACTTCATAATAATAATGTCGTTTATTTACCTACATTAAAAACTGTAGATATTTTTGAAATAGAAATATTATTTTAAAAATAAATAGCCCAAATGCATAGTGCAATGACATTATTACCACTCATAATTTATATTGTAAACAAACAAAAATTAGATTTTAATCACTTTTGATGCTATACACTAGGTACTATAATAACAAAAATTAAACTTATAATCACACTTTCATTAAAATAACAAAACTATAAAACGGCGCACGTGAATTCTACTAATGTTTGTTTACATTCAAGATGAAAGTTTGAACTTGTAAAAGTCCCGACGTAAACAGTGACGTAGTGACATGATGACATCTAGCGTTGCGTTTACCCAATCTATTCGGCGCGCCGAGTTGACTCGGTAATAGCGCTTACCGAATCTATTCGGCGCGCCGAGTTGATTCGGTAACTCGAGTGCAAACGAACTCGAGCCTTTGTTTTCAAATTGTTCACAGATAACAGGTGCAGGTCACGGAATGGGTCGGGAGATGGCGCTACGTTTTGCGAAGCTTGGCAGCACTATTGTGTGCGTCGACATCAATTCCACCGGCAATCAAGAGACCGTTGAGCTGATCAAGGAGTGCAAAGGGAAGGCACACAGCTATCTGTAAGTACTTATGAAGGTGATGGTAGATATTCTATAATTAATATTATAAAGAGGTAAAGTTTGTGAGTTTGTGAGGTTGTAGGGGGTAATCAGCTCTGGATCTACTGAGCCGATTTAGATGAAATTTGGTAAGAAGATAGCTTAAGACCTTGGGAAAGACATAGTATACTTTTTATCCCGGAAGTCATCCCTTAAGAGGGTGAAAATGGGGATGAAAGTTTGTATGGGGAATCAACCTAATTTGATATAAAATTGTGAAATGTGATAAATATGGTGGAATAGAAATTGTAATGTTCAAGCCACCTTTAGCGGGCATCCATTAATCACGTGAGATAATTTTGTGTGTAATATATATTTTCTTTTAAAGTTACACGTGAGATTTTCAATTATACTCCCCTCAGTTTTAACGATATTTGATGAGATTTTACATGAATTTTGTATGCACATAAGCATTTTTACAATTGAATAAATATTAAATGTGAAAATACACAAATACAATTCTTGAGTTCAAACATTTTGCTTCCAATATTATACTGACTTAAATATTAAATCTATGCAGTTGTATAAAATTGAAGTGTCTGTTTGTAATGTGAAAATAACAGCTTTTTACTAAATGCATATGAGTGTACTTATAAAAAAAACACAATTTTTACAATTTTTGTCTGTCTGTCTGTCTGTCTGTTTGTCCCAGCTTATCTCCGAAAAGGCTAGACTGATTTTGATGAGTTTTTCACTGGCAGATATTATGTTATAAGGAGTAACTTAGGCTACTTTTATTTTAGAAAAAATTATTAGGATTCCGCTCAAAAAAGTAACTAAATAACGATCCAATAACTCTCATACTATAAAAAAATAGATGATATTAAAAAGAAAGAACTTGAGTGTTTAAACTTAAAAGAACTAGCACAAGAAACATGGGTATTTATATAAAGATATGTTCACAATTATCTTGAGCCTCTTTACAATATGAAAACAATGGCCTTCCAATTGATTCGTATATCCGATGCAAAGGATGTGAAAATTCTTATTAGCTGACTAGCTTGACCTAAATATCTACATATATTCAATAATAATAATAAATATTGTTTCTTTAGTATACAGATAAAATTACTAAATTAACATACATAGCTCTTTCATAGCTTAATCTGTTAGTAAACCTAGGTTTTTGATTGTTTGTCTGTTTGTCATTGTTTGTCTGTTTGTCACCTTTTCACGCTTAGATTACTCTATAAAGTATTTTTAAAGTCTCTACTGGGCACGGGTCTCCCTTCAATACGAGGGCCATAGTCCACTATCCACTTAGAAATAGTTTATATGTATGTAGAAATTCGTGAAATTCGTTGATATTCTGCAAGGACATGAATAGTATGGAAGCGGACACAGGCAACCTTTTATTTCCGCCCCGCTTTCAATGCGAGTAACGCTGTGGGCAAAAACTAGTAATATTTATATTAAATTTATTCATTTGATTTGGGTCCAACGTTCAAACAATTATTTAAATAAGGTCGACCTATCTTTATGTAGGTACTGGATAATCATCGGAAGAGCCAAATATAAGGGAGTGAAAATATGAGAACATCTTAATCGAATGTTCATTTGGTATTAGTTGAGAAGTTGAAAGCCTGTGAAAGTTAAATTTAAATATATAAATACTTTTTATAAAAAAAGGTACAACGACTTCATAAGGTCTTTTTAAATAAAACATCGCTACTGACTAATTTATTAAGTCAAACTTCCTTACAAGGGTAAACTCTATCTATACACATAATAAAATTGTAGCTAAGTCGAATCTGTACATTAAATATTTTTTGGAAAATCTAATTGAAATAGACATTATTCTCGATACAGAGTCCGAATCTATAGTTTTTAGAATAGTTAGCTAGTTTAACATAAGTCTGTAAAGAACCTTAAAACGTCCAGTATTTTAAAGTTTTCATTGTTATGTGACAATGTCTACTTACATATATTAACCGCTTTAATATGTTGTATGTACATATATTAATCGCGAATTGTTAACTATAGAATAATACATGATATTACAGCTGTGACGTAACAAATCGGATATCTATCAACGAAATGGCGGAGAAGATACGCAAAGAGGTTGGCGAAGTGACCATACTCGTGAACAACGCCGGTATCATGCCCTGCAAGCCCTTGTTACAGACTGGCGAGAAGGAAATAAGGACTGCATTCGAAGTAAACTGCTTATCACATCTTTGGGTACGTTATCTTTTAAATAAACAAATATCGTGTGTTATTTTTTAACTGCCTATAAGGTAGGTAAAATGTAATTACGGAGGTTAAAAAATAATAGTTTAGACCAGCGGTTCCCAAATGGTGGTCCGCGGAACCCTAGGGTTCCGTGAAAGGGTCAGGGGTTCCTGAGTTCCGTTCGAGAGTTAAAACGTTGTCAGACATGAAGCCTAATTTTAGTGCTATTATAAATAAATATGTGAAAAATTTCATTTATCACTTTAAATAGGTTATATTTTTGGTACAATAAACATTATTATAAGTATTAATACTTTTCATTCATGATTTGTTCTTTCAACTCAAACAAGAAAGTATTCTAACTACAACACGATCAGATTAGTTATTATCAAAATGGGGATCCGTTAAAAAAATATGATCAATAGAGTTCAAAAAAAGGGTTAGGGTTTTTTCCGTGGACAACAAAATTGGGAACAGCTGGTCTAGACGTGGTCTGCGTTTCCGTTATAATCAAAACCTACTTGTACTTTTATATAGTAGTATAATTTAATAAAACGACTAAATACATCCGCTAAAAGACCTTTAATACCTGAAAAAGGTTAAGCATATGTTAATAAAGTTAAGTTAAATTTTATTATTCTGAATAAACCAAATGTATTTGCCGAATAGTTTTAAAAAACACAAATTTATGTCTTTTAAATTTGCATTGTAAGTTCGTAACTTTAATCGCAGGATGTAAATATATATAGTATATAGTTGCCCCGTCAGAGTGACGTAGCATCGGCCGCATCGGGCCCCTGATTCAAGGGGGCCCCAGCGGGCCAAAAGCGATCATTTTATTTCAAAACATTTTTTCGAATACGGCCTTCATAGAAGTTTAAAAAACCATATATTATTTTTTCACGAGGACCACGGGGAATGTGATCGTACCGTTCTATAAAACGATGAATAGCCCTCTAAGTTCAGCTTTTTTACTAAATTTTACTCTATCCGTTCTTTGATTCCGATTCCTTGATTCCGATTTGAAAAAAGTGAGAAGTTCGAAAACTGTCCCTATCTGTGGACCACATTCGTTTTCAAAATGTGCAACTGACACTCACTTTTTTTACAAAAAAACAAAAGAGTCCCAAAAAGGCTAGTTACGCCACTGCTCCTTGATTTTCATTTTCGCAGTCAATTTTGAAATGAATTTATGCATACGTACAATTATGTGGAACTAACCGGCTAGAACTAAAACCCAACGAAACCTCCCTTGTTTTAATGACAACTCCAATTACCCACCTACAGTTAATGACTTAACACTTCGTAAACTTCGTATGGTGTTTATCTATACAGATAAATAAAATTAAAGTGTCCGTTTGTAATGTCAAAACAACAGCTTTTTACTAAATTCATATGGAATTATATACGGTATTTATAAGGAAAGCATTTTTACAATTTTTAAAATTTTTGTCTGTTTGTTCCGGCTAATCTCCGAAACGGCTGGGCCCATTTTGACGGGTCTTTCACTGGCAGGTAGTTGATGTTATAAGGATTAACTTAGGCTACTTTTCTTTCAGTAAAAGAATTAGGGTTCCGCTCAAATCAATTAAAATGTACCTAGAGTCGCTAGTTAAGTAAAAAAATCCTAATATACAGACTCTCCAAGCGTTTCTACCAGCGATGATGGAAAGGAATCACGGGCACATAGTGGCCATGTCGTCCATGGCCGGCGTCATCGGGCTCCGGAACTTGGTTCCATACTGCGGCACCAAGTTCGCTGTGCGAGGAATGATGGAGGCTATTCATGAGGAACTGAGGGAAGATCCCAGGGATTTTAGTGGGGTGAGTTTTGAGTTGTTAGCACTGATATTATAAATGTATGTTTGTATGTGTGTTTGTTATTTTACTTTGTAATGACTGCGGTCTTGAATGTTGTTTGGAGAGGAAGTAGCTTAACTATATATGTAGATAAGTAAAATTGGAGTGTCTGTTTGTAATGTCAAAATAACATTTATTTACATATGACATTATATTTAATACGGTACTTAATACTTATAAGCAAAACACAATTTTTGAAATTTTTGTCCGTCTATCTGTCTTTTTCATATATCCAGGGGTTATTTTTTAACGATATAAACTAACACCTCATTCTCTAAAAATAATTCGATATTATTTTTTATTAAACATAGGTATTTGTTCCTATTATTATTATGACAAATGATCTACTTTAAGGTCAGACACCGTCTACCCAACTTAAAGCTGGAAACAGTAATTTCACACTAGTACTACTAATAGTAATCTTGTAATTTCGTGTACCACATCCTTCCCTTCATTAATATTCCGTTCGCCGAAATTAAGCAGTTTTAAAAAAGTGATCAATTTTTAAAGGCGCTTTAGCGAAGGAAAAAAAATATATCATCAAATTTTACTTTTCACTTAACCGTAATAGTAATGAAAGCTAAATTCTAATCTATTTATAATATAACTCATTTCAGATCAAACTAACCTGCATATGCCCATACATCGTGGACACCGGCTTGTGCAAGAACCCCAAGATCAAGTTCCCGTCTCTGATGAAGATCCTCTCCCCGCAAGAGGCTGTGGAGCGGATCGTAGATGCCGTGCTTAGAGAGTACCAAGAGATCACCATACCTAGCAGTCTTTATTATATAAACCAGGTAAGATCAATACATAAATAAGAATAAATTAAAATCATCATAAAATTCGTAAGCGGAATCAATTCAATTCAATTTTCTTATTAATGGCTTCAAAAAGAGAGAAATCAAGTTAGAAGCGTGTTAAAGTGCTACAGAATATATAACGGTTTTGTTGTATTGTGGTGCCATAATTAAGAGTCGCTTGCCGTTTTTTTTTGCAAAATCATGTTTTTTCGGGAAAGGCGTAAAAAAAAGTTTTTTAGAAAAATTAAATTGTATGATGGGCACCGGTAGGAAGTGCAAGTGGGTGCACTTACGTTCCCCAAAATATATACAAAAATTTAAATAAATAAAATTATATGAGTCCCTGTTTCCCTAGAAATTCCTATTTAATTTAGATATCTACAAAAAAAGATGATAAATTAGATATTAATAAAAATTATAAAGTTAATCATTTAAAGGTTAGTTAGTAGTTTAATGTGAAGAAGCAGATGCACCACACTAGAAATAGTTTTGTCGCCGCTCTTGTTTATATAATAATGTAAATAATGTCTTATATTTATAACTTTTCAGATGTTCCGAGTATTCCCAAAGGCAGTATCACTTCACATCAAAGATTTCTTAGATTCAGGATTGGAAGCGCAGTAGTTATTAAAAGAAACACTTAAAATATTTAGTTACCAACATTAGGGACCAAATATGTACTTTATTTCTTTAGCTATAATGCCATTGGTCATATTGGCCACATTGATCACTGGTTTCTTAATGCTAACATGAGAAGAACAAAGTTACATACAGATATTCATCCGTCTCTCTTTAAAATACCTAACTAAAAGACAGAGACAGATGAACTATTGATGTAATTAAATGTCTACATATTACGTGAAATCATAGATGTAGAGAATGGACTCAGCTCTACTACGGGGGGGGGGGGATGCCTCTCCCCCCACTTCCCCCTAGATCCGCGCTTTTACCCACTCTGTCTATGCGTGAAATACACAAAAGGAATCAAGTAAGAAGGAGATACAAATAGTTTTTGCTGTCTCTCTCACTCTGTCATTTTTACCTCCGTCTGATTGTTATATAGGTATTAGATATATGGGGATTATAAGGATATTGAGCCTTAAAGGTCATGTTTTATTATATGTTGGTCGTTTTAGTTTATGTCATTTAGAAAGAGTTTTGAAATGAGGCGTGATAGTGTTTTGCAATTGATTATTACAAACTTCTTGCAGCGCCTTTAACGGAAACTTTTGCAAACCAATATCGGTAGAATTCGTACATGTTAAAAGCTATTTCCAAAACAAATTATATTACATTTTTGTGATTGTACTAAATAGATATATTTTATTGAAAAAGGCAATCGAAATTAAAAGAAATTCATAAAAATAATTCCGGAACGTGTCAATTTAAATGTTCATATAAAATCTATGTACACACTAGGTAAGATATTCTTGCCATTTCTAAGATTTTGTATGGGATAAAATGAGATGGGATGGAATGGCTCGGGCGGGAATAGAATCGTAATGAGTCTTCTCACAATCCTTACAAGATGAGTGAGGTAACCCTGTAAGTAAGTGTAGGTACCATATTGAAAAACTCCCAACAGGATCTCATCAAAAGCGACAAAAGCCACATAGAAGCCAATAAATATTTATTGGTTTCTATGTGGCTTTTGTCGCTTTTGATGAGATCCTATTGGAGTTTTTTAATAGAGTAAGTAAGTGGCCCTCTAGAAGTGGGTTCTGCCGCCGCTAACCCTTATATGGATGCGTCCCTAGGAAGCGCTTACAGGACGTTTCAGGTATCAGAGTGGAGGAGGATCCTAGTTGCTCTAAAGGAGGTCCAAGCTAAGCAATCAGCGAAGCGAGAATAGATTGCTTTCATATAATCTATACATCACGTAATTAAGGATACGGATCATTATAGTAATAATAAAGACAATAAAAATTAATTAGTATGTAAATGTTTTGATTTTCGGGAAAACATAATACAAGGAGGCCTTGGAAACGCCGCGAGAGGCGCTCGTGTAGAGTGACGTATGGAAATGTCAAATGTCACTGACGTTTGTGTGTAGTGTTGCGAGTTTTTCATCGCGTGTTTTTACTTATTATTCATGATTGTTGTACACATTATACCATTCCTGATTAATTATACGGACAAACAGTACTGCTCAATGAATGTTAGTGTTTAAAAAAAAAACGATTAAGAAAAAGTTAATATTTTATTTATTTGGTCATTATCAATTATTTAAAATAAAATCCTGATTAAGTGCTTAGACGATAACAATTATTATTATTATTTTTATATCTTTATTGGTTTTGCTGCTTCAACAAATTCTTTTTAACGACAGAGGTAGGACTTTACTCGCGATAGTAGCGCCGACTGGTGCCACCAGAAACAGCCTTTACAATACCATAATGAAATCACAATGTATATGATTTCTTGTTTGTTGTAGGTCCAGATCATACAATTAATTGCTCATATTTTATATGTGAAGAGACCTCAGTGCGAATATTTCTTTTTTAATCTGTTAATACCTTATCTACACCGTGTCTTCTCCATTTTACACGACATTGGCAAAGTAATCTGTGCGTAACCTGTGAATTGAATTGAAATCTCAACGTAACTCAAATATTAAATATATATAAAAATATTTTTTTTATTATCTCAATAATAATATTACATATTTTTAGGTGTCGAATTATATACATGTTATTTATGCAATTAAAATACGGTGCCAATTAAAATTTCCCCATAAATAATTCATCGACCACATTGTTGAAAATATTCATTATATGTAAATAGAACATGCATTGAAATACAAAGAGGATATAAAATTAAAAAAATAATTATTTTTTAAAGTTTAAAATCATCAATTGTTTTTAAACATGAATAGGAGATAGGTATAAGGAACAATGAATTATATGACAGTGAAATTGTAAATAATGGTAAAGAATAGTTATTAAGTGCTTTAAATGGTGATATGAAAATGTTGCAATATATAAAAAACGTGTGCGTGTAACCTTTACGCGCGGTTGAAGTAAAACTTATTTGGCGCTGTGGCGGATACCACAATTAAATTAATACAAATAAAAATATAAATACAATATTTTTATAAAATTATTCCTTTTTTCATAAATAATAAATATAATATTTTTATTGAATAAAACTATGTTTTCGGATTTTTCGCGGATTTATTTAGATTTTTAGTTCCCGGCGTTTCGTATGCGTTACAACATCATGGTCACGGGGGACACTAAAGAAAGTATTCGAAACGTCGGGAATCAAAAACCAAAATAAATTCGCGAAAAAAATCCGAAATATAGTTTATTTAAAATGACAAAAATTCGCGTGAATCTAAAAAAGTATTATATTCTTTTTTATATTATTAATAATAAATGTGACTTACCTCTCAGCCTAAAGAGGTTTTACTTCAAACAATCGAATACATTTTGTTTATTATTGTCTTATTCAAATTGATTAATAATAATATTGCAATATTTTCAATAGTTATTATATTTTTATGTCTTTGTATACTTTTATCTTTTGACTGTATTGAATTAACACAGAAATATAGATATTATGTATACTTTTATATGCCAATGCTCATCTGGATCTGTGCCATTTGTTATTGTTTTTAAGTCAATATTAAATGCATTTCGTTGGTTTTAATAGGATTTTTACTAATATATATCAAATAACTTTCATGATTTATGTAAAATATTGTATTTTAACTCAGACTAATGAATTATATAGACAGCGTCCGCCATAATGAATGTCAAAGTAAAAAATAGTAGCGTGTTTACTGTTTATGTTACTATTGTCGCTTTTGTATGGTATTTAATTAATATACAATTTTTGAGAATAAAATATGAATAATAAAAATAATACTATATTCTTACGTGTTTTTTGAGTATTAGTTCTCTTCCTCTTGAAAGAGAGTTTTCGTAATATTAGCTTTTTTTTCTTTAATATAATAAACTCCGTTAGCAATTTTTTTATTATTATTTTTTTAAATTTAGTATACAAATTATTTGTATAGTATTTTAAATCATTATTGGTTGGCTTCATGTTTAGGTTCTATGTCACGCTGTCTATATTATTCCTTTGAGTATTTTAATTAAATATTTTATGAAATGATATTATTGAAATTGTTGTTCATATGTAAAGTTGTTGATATGTGTCCGCCATTTTAATAAAAACATCACAAATTTTATTTCGTATTTTTATACATTTTCTATTTACTATATTATAGTGATACTATTTAAATAGGCAAGGGCTGTACGAATTATTGAATTTTATATTTGTGATGAAAGGAATAAATGGTTCAATTTTATAATGGTATTTTTTATTGAAATAAGCCTTTTAAGGGTTCCGTACCCAAAGGGTAAAACGGGATTATAGCCTTAGGAATAGCCCTATTGGCTATTACTAAGACTTTGCTGTTCGTCCGTCTGTCACCAGGCTGTAACTCATTAACCGTGATAGTTGAAATTTTCACAGATGATGTATTTCTGTTGCCGCCATAACAACAAATACTAAAAAATAGTCTTTCTATATTCACCAGAATTTTATTGGATCATTAAAAGCGTGACAAAGAGTTTTTTATGTTGTAATTTTTTCTATATTTTTAAAATTTCCCAAATTGTTTAAAATAAAATTAATAGTTTCACAGATTTTTCTGATAACTGTCGGTTGCTTGGAATCTGCTAATTTGAGATCTTAACGTTCTTCGTTCTAAACTTGTAGTTAAGTATTAGTGACCCGCTTTTACTTCATTTAGTATTTTTCTTTACTGGATCTATATTTATATGTATATCCCACGAAAATCACAATCTACATTAAAAAGTAGTGTATCGATACACAAAATCGCAAGTCGGCTAATTCCGTCCGAGTCAACTTTTTATATGCTACCAGATACGTAAATATCTCAATAATACTTATCAAATTCGGAAAAATAAAAATATTCCGTTTTTTTTAATAATAATATTTTTACTAACGTTTGTGTGCTAAAAACTGCCCACTGGAAAGTGCATTGAAACGGAATTAGTAGACTTGCGAATTAAGTTACCAGTACGGAGAACCCTTAATCTCGTTCTATGCTGATAATGATGAAAATCTTTTTTTGTTAAAAAAGGCTAAGTAACACTTCCATTTTATATTATTATATATTTAACGTTTATTATAGATTTCTCAGAGACGAGATATTTTCCCGCAGTAAAAAGTGTCCTATATATTGACCCGGTTAACCAAATTTCATCAAAATCTGTCCAGTGGTTTTCTCGTGATGCTTTCCCAGGCCGACAGACAGATAAAATTTCTAAAAACTATAGATTCAGCCTCTGTATCCACAATAATGACTATTTCAATAACATTTTTCAAAAATACAGACATACATATTCGAATCAGAATTTTATTATGACAATGATTTACCATTATAATACCAGGTAAATAAAACTAAATATGCACATTGGAATTCTATTTATTCTCAGGTATACATTTCAAGATATATAGGATATTCATGTCCTAAGGACTCGAGCTTTTGCCACTCGGATACTCTGCAATAATAATAGGAAAGTATAAAAATTAAAAAATATACTATAAATGTATATATTATAAACCAAGTATTATAAGATATTTTATTAGAAGTGATTGAAATTTTAGATTTTTTTTCATAAATATTTAGGCAAAAGTATCCGAATGCAAATTGTAAAATATCCATTTTTTTTTCAACTCATAACATTTTAAATCTAAACACATGTCACAATCTATTTTTAATTTCTATTCGAACTCTTTGTTCTGATAGATTCATTTAATGCAAAAATAATTTATATACAACATACGCGTTATAATTAATATGCTATATTTGAGCTACTGGTACTTAGAAAATATGGCAATAAAAATGTAATATTTCGCTAAATAACAAGAGGGATAATAGTTTTTGATATAAACGATGCTTAGATGTATAATATTTAAATTACGATCTATTGTATATTTTATTTACAAAATATTTGTAGTAGCTTCAAATATATTACACATCATAAAGTCGAAAAAAATGGTTTATCAGATAAATTATTTCAAGTACCTAGTGCAAAAAAAAAATAAAAAAATCTATGTATAACCGAGTTAAAAATCAAATATTTTAGTCCACGGGCATACATGATTCCTGCAAGTGGCAACATATAAATATTTGGTCAAAATATCTATTAAAATTATAATATAACAATATAATATTATTAATTAAACAAAAAACTAACTAGTTACATATAATATCGACGTATATTCTTAACTTTTAACATCAATTTATGAGGACACAAATCATTTTAAATATATTTTATAACGAATTATCTTGTCAATTTATTAAACTTACATAAAATCAATCACAGATGAAAAATTATTCATGTCAAATATTTTCAACCTAATAATAAAAAAAGATTATTCTCTTACGGAGCATACAATAACCAATCTATTGTTTTCCTTACTAGCGATTGACAGAAGGCATAAGCCATAGAATTTATATTAATAAAATTGAAGTGTCTGTATGTAATGTCAAATTAAAAGCTTTTTACTAAATGCATATAAAATTATATGCAATACTTATAAAGAGAAACACAATTTTCAACATTTTTGTCTGTCTGTCTGTTTGTTCCGACGAATCTCCGAAACGGCTGGACTCGTTTTAACGGGACTTTCACTGGCAGATAGCTGATGTTATAAGGAGTAACTTAGACTACTTTTATTTTAGAAAAAGAATTAAGGTTCCGTTAAAAAAAATGTACCTGAGCGAAGCGAGGGTAAGTAGCTAATATCTAGTACGGAAAGCCATGGAATAGGTTATAAATATTCACCGTTAGCCTGAGTTTATTACATGGGATTGATAAGATATACAAGTACAACTTCGTCTCTGGGATTTAATGGTATTTGGTTTTCATTTAAAGAAAATTAATAGCAATTACAATTATTACCTACTTATGTATTATAAATTGGCAGAATTATTGTGTAATACGCAAAGATTTATATAGATTTAAATCTTGGTAGTAAATTGTAAGAATGGCTGATGCAAGTGCTAACATATTCTAGCAAAGTACCAAAATGCTAAAAATCTATTGAAATATTTAATACTATTTCACTATTCATGACGATGAATGCTTATTGCTGGAGGGTTTGTGCTTTTGTATTTGTGTTTTTTCAGTAGGTACTATGTTTTTATTACATGTTATTTCAAAGATATTTTTTTATTTAATTATTTAAAACTAAATTTAATAATTATAACTAATATAACAATAACGAGGCATAGAAATAAATTATTTTATATTTTTTTTAACTTAATTTAAAAAAAATAATATTAAGTTTTAGTGAATATCGAATAAGTTAATGTTAAAAATAATTAATTTAGTTTCAAATAATACAAATTAATATCTTATCACGCAAATAAATGATATGCAAAAAGTTTTTTTTTCTAAATAGTGACTATTATAATTCCAGCAACAATTCATAAACATATAAAAAATTAAGTCCTCGAACTCCGCAGTACTAGGTAAGGTTGAACGCTACTAAATAAGCAAAAGTTTTATTATATTAATGACAAATTCATTATTTTAAACGTTTTCTTTTACATAAAGTAGGAAGACGTAATCAATATAAGATTTTAATAACTTATAATTTGGCAAAAGCTTGCCTGTAAAGAGATATATTGCAACAATCTGCTTCATATAACGCCTTATGATATTTCATACAACGGAGAAAGATCACACAAACACCAACATCAAAAATATAATTTAAAATCAAAATAATTATTAAAAATCGACATAAAATTAAATATTAATTTAGGTATGTACATAATTTTCATATTATATTTTGACTGATCTGTAAAACAAGTAACGAATTCCACTATCGCAGATATCACAATGTCATGTCATGTTATTTCTATTGACTGGGAGCTGAAAAAACTGCCTTTTGCATATTACATTTTTTGTAAAAAAATTTATCAACATCATCAGATGAGTTAAATTTTTTACAAAAATTTTTTGTAAAAAATGTAACAAAATCTCTGTCACAGTTCGATGTAAAAATATTTTATTTTTCGTAGCAAGCTATAATAAAAGTAGTGATCCTTTTTTTAGTACTAAAATCCATTTGAAAATGCGACAATGCGACATGTTTTAAAAAATATCGATAATGCAGATGTAGGTATATTATAAAAGTACTTCTAATAACATTGACAAACTAATTATTTATTATTAATGCATTATTGAAATTATTGAAAACGTCTAGAATATATCGACATCTTTCAGGTGTTGATAGTTGCGGTCCCAGTAGCCGCCGTTGTAGAGCCAATCTTCTTGCTTGGTGTACGGGTTCGTGCCCTGGCTGAACCATCTGGAATATTAAACGTTTGACATATTATTTCATATTTTTTACTCTCGGACCTTCATTTTTTATGATATACATATAATATCTTATTTCTTTTGCTTTGGTCGGTAAAGCAAATGGCATTCGGTAAAAAAATATTTTCTTTCACTCTCAAATTCCAATCACTATTTGACAAATCCGATGCCGCAAACGGAGTGTAACACCACCAACTTAAAAACTCCGGACTGTTACTGCTAATTTTTCAATAGTAAACTGCTACCGTCCAGGATTCGAACCTAGAACTTTATTTTTAGCATTAACGATTTTCATGCATGACACTACTCCACTACTGCATTCTTGTTTAATGTGCTAGAACTTTAAAATCTGATTCATACAATTACAAATTTTGCACAAAAATACCTTGGATTCCATCCATCAGTGTTCTTCTTCAGCACTTTCCTGGCAGCACGTTGTTTTTCCTCCAGCCTGGTCTTCTCAGCGGCGGCGCCGTCTATGTCGCCCTGCTCCAGCAGCCGGATGTCCGGCCGCAGCCGGCTGTCGGTGGGACAGAGCTGCCCCTTCATGTCTCGTTCCAGCTCGTTCAGAGACATCGCGAACTCCGTGAACTGGTAGTACTGTTGATTAGAGAAAGGTCTGTTAGTAATTTTTTGATTTAAGAGCGTTATGAATAACTAATATACTTAATTATTTTATAGATAAAAAGTGTAAACAAGTAAATGATCCACTTAAACATCAATTATTGTCGGTCAAATGCACCTGTAATATAAGACAAATTGTGTATACGACTCTTGAAAATACCTTAAAACCTTTGGAGGAAGATCGTTACATTATCTAGACTGGATTTTTTTCAAGAAAAGGTACAGATTTAGTCCACGATTCTATGGAGGAGTAAAAGCGTTTATAGTCTGATGACTAGAAAACCTTAAATTAATTATTGCGTGCTTTGAAATATAAGTGTACCTGCGCACTATTGCTGGGCCTAGGGCGAGCTTCCCAAAGTGTGACAGAGCCTGGTATATCGATGTTGTACGATTCATCCGGCTTCGGCACTTCTTCTGAGTTTTCGGCTTCATCGTTCTATTGAATATAACGATATTGTTAAAAATTATAATATTTATTATTCACTTAATAAATTCCTTTTTTAACATTTTATTTAATCATGAAACTAAATTACACTAATGTACAAAGATTATGGGTAAAAAAAGTAATTCAGTTTCTGTTTCAAAATGTTACATATTTCAGCTATCCGATCTCAGGGAATCAATTTCATATACCAAAATATCCTTTTCCATTTAGGCAATACGTTAAACATAAGGGCTAACAAACGGACTCTCTTACGCGTATACAAATTTATATTCGTTATAACACTAGCTGACCCTTTGGGCTCATACAAACAAAAACACTAAGGTTTTTACTAAACTTCCCATTTTCCAGGCAACTTTCCCTATTTTATTTCCCAAGACATAATTTTATAAACATTTATAAAAATATTGAATAAAGCTGTGTTTCTTAAGTGACAGCATTTTTTATGTATAAACGGGATTAAGAATAAGATAAAACTCACATCCTGTATAGACATAGAGCGTAGAGCGCCAACTTTAAAGCTGTTGAGCTTGGCTAAGACTTTCTTGGGCGTGTGCTGAGTGTTGGAGTCGTCCCCGCGCTCGCGCGCCCACTGCTCGTACGCGGCTGCGCTGCACACCTTGATGCACTCTGTCCACTTGCCGTACAGGAAGCGGAGGCGTTTCTTACTGAAGTTGGGATATTTTGCTATATTTATTTGTAATATTATGTGGAGTGTTTATATGTTTATTAGCTATATATATTTTGACGGGAGTGTATCTAAGGTGGTGATACATGTGACGGAAGAAGATGATAATTTTTGTTTCTATACTTCCTGTCAATAGTGAACCTACTATTTTTAAAATCTGTTACTCTCTATCATATATAAAACAATAAAATATATATCATAAATAAAACAATAAAACGAAAACAACAACCAAATTAAATTGAGCATTAATTATTTACCATTTATATTATTGAGTTAAAACATTAGGAAGCGTGAAATTAAAAAAGATAAAACAGGAAAAGCTGAAGTATATTCCTAGAGTAAGATTAAAATTTAAAAGGTACCAATTCCTAAAACATCTCTTTTACCTTTGGTCAATAATAAAGCCATCGACTCTATGCAGATCTCGATTGTTGAAGCCGGCAGGTTTGAACGCCAGGTTTGCCTTGAGACCAGCCCCGCCATGGCAGGTGACCTCCATAGCACCGTACTGCTCGATCCACAACTTGCCAACTATCACGTTGTGGACGCAGCAGTTCACGTTACTCCAGGTATACGCTTCACCCCATCTGTTTTGTAGATAAATATTTTCAAAGTGAAATAGAAGATACTTTTTTAATATTTATTAACACTACATATTATAAATTAAAGTAGTGTTGTTGTTTGTTCGGGATAATCTCAGAAACTACTCCAATAATTTTCATACAATTTACATCAATAGGAAGAGTGATTCTGTATAAAAGCTTTTGACTAATAAATAATTTATGAACTACTGACTGAAGTATGTACTACTGACTGAAGTATGATGATATTTTTGAATTAAGTCGTCATTTCTGAGAGCTTCCGTTAATGTTATAAATGCGAAGAGTATCTTGGGACTAAATACTCATAACGTACCGTGGCAGCTCCACAGTAACATGCCCCTTTGGCTGTATCTCGACACTCTTGCCGCAGAATTTTAGCTTAGGATGCACTGATCCATGGAACACGAAGTGAGGGCTGTCTGCATGAAAAGCAGACACTGGAGGGTGGTGTGACACCTACAATAATAGTAATTTAATGTGTACGTTTAAACGTTTGATAGATTAATCAAAAAATATCATATTTTTAAAACCTATAGGGAAATTGTTATTGATATCACTCCTAAGGAAAAGTACCTATTTTATATTTTTACAGGTAAAATTTTCCTTTCCTTCTATTTCGAAGCGTGTTATTTGAAACGATGTGTTACTAATGAATGCAAATGACGGTTGATATAGTCAATACAAACATGGGACTTAAAAAGCTTATTCGGCATTTCATAATGTTCCATTTTTGTTTTAAAAATCAGTTATGACCCAAATTAAATAAAAATATCGTAGATATGTATTAAAATATACACAAAAACCTAAACCAGTTAACTACAAATTCAGTTACAAGCAATATCTTTACAACATTTTAATTACAGCGTAGAAACTAGGAAGGGTGTAAGTTTGTTAATAATTTAAAGTGCACTTAGCTCTATTAAGAGCTTGTCTGTGTACTAAACTTTGAACTGAAGTCGCTTCTCGTGTTACTTCAAATATGATTAAGTTTTAAATTAAACTGCGAGAGAAATAAAGACATTTTTGAAATGATAATATCATTAAATGACTTAATTGGCTTTTTAATTAAAACGAATTTAAAGTAATATCTAAAGGTGTATTATTTTCATTTAAAAAAAAACATTTATAAGTTTAAAACATCTTGTCTTAAAAGATTTTTCTTCTCTTGCATCATAGGTATATTTAATTAGAAAATCTCATCTAAAAGTTTAAAAGTTGTTAGGTACGTTACCTGTTCACAAACAGCTCTGAACTCTGGTCGTTCGAGCTCGTAGGTTTCACCGAGAAGAGGGTTGAAAGGTTTTCCCAGACGCTCCCAATTGGATGCTAAAGCACTTACTGCGAAAGCTGTAAAAAAGTTATTTATTATATAAGAAGTAACAAAGACGAGAACGTAAAATTGCATATTCTGTCGAGATATTACTCGTATATGTACTCGTAGGGGACGTAGATGAGGTGTTATATCAAATTCCTTAACTGCCTCGGTGGTGTAGTGCCTAGCAATGTACGGCTGCACACCCGGAGGTCCTGAGTTCGAGTCTCGGGTCGGGCCAAGTTTAGTTATTGAGTCTTTCTGTATAAGTAAGCCTCAGTAACAGTCCGGAGTTAGAAAGTTGGCGGTGTTTCACCCCCGTGCCTCGGAGTGCACGTAAAGCCGTCAGTCCTGCACCTTAACTCTCACTGGTCGTGTCGAGCAGTCGTCCCACCGGAGTATGATAGTGACAGGAATAGAGAGTGCACTTGTGTCTGCGCGTACACTTGAGCACTATAATATCTCCTGCGCAGTTGGCTAGTCTCAATGAGATTGGCCGCCGTGGCCGGAATCGGCTAGGAGAACATCATCATCATCATATCAAACTAAAGCTATTACATTTTTGTCTATGCTTTTAAAAGTGAACACTTAATTAGGATATTGACCTCATTATGCTTCTTCTGGATTGTAGAATCAATATTTATTAGTTGTATATAATGTTATGTATATAATGTTTATTAGTTGTCGTTAATTTAATACAGTGAATGCAAAAGCATAGAAGCGACTCTATATAAAGAAATAATGGTTATAGCCCGCACCTTCGAACACATGACAAGTTGGTAATAAATTAATTATATAATTCAGAATTCTTTCTATTAGTGAAACTATTTTATAAATCAGGGGACAAGATGACTTTTACAATCTTTTACAATTATTTTAGGAAATTAAAAAATATACTCGGGAATAGCTATTTTGATGATATCTGTATAGAATCGTATTTTTCACAGATGTAAAAATTGAGTTTTTTTTTCAGAAAAGACATCTCTATCGATAAAATTAAAAAGCAAGATGTTATCTAAAAACAAAATTCGATCAACATCGTTAGAGCTGTTGTCGAGATACACGAATATTATATATCTATACAAATAGTGCTCATTTAATATTATAAGATTTGTCGTAATACATACTTATAAATAGATCATCCCTATAATTTATGAGGGTGAATCTTGTTTATCCCTATATTCGTTCCAGATAAAATCCTGTGTACATAAACAAATTTCAGCTATTTCTTTGTTCATATCTTTCTAATGTTATAAATGCGAAAGTTTGTGAGGATGTATGAATGTCTACATGTAGGTATAGATGTTTGTTACTTTTTCATGCAAAAACTACTGAACAGATTTTAATGAAACTTACAATTATATAGCTCATACATTAGAATAGCACATAGGATAATTTTTATCCCGGAAAAAGGTACGGTTCCCGTGGGATAGATTTATTAGGCAAACTCGAGCGAAGCGAGGGTGAGCCGCTAGTAGTTTAATATACGTAAAATATAAAAAAAAAACAAAAAACTGATATAGGTCGCATGCTAAAATATGATATAGGTAAAGCGTTTTCATTTAATAAGCTAAAATTAAATCGTGTTTAAAGTAACACCTCAGAATACATTTTATTAAATTGAATTAGAACTGCCATCTGAATTTATTTTGAAATTGTATTAAGATCGTGGGCGTAATGCGGAGCTACGCGAAATGAGATTAGATATTTATGTTGGCTTTATTATTAATATACCTGTAATATTCCTTTTACCGAATTAAGTCTTAATTTGTATTATACGAATAATAATTTGTTAATTATACACAAAAGAACCTCAAATATCTCGTTAATAAAATAGGTTAAAAAAAATAGGTTAATCTTTTGCGCAATTTTTTCATTGAAGATCTTAATAATGTTTATATCGTCAGCATTGTGTTAGTTTATATATGGACATACATATGTATATACCTAATATGGGTATTGGGTAAAGTACACATTTAATTTTTCTAAAAAAAAGTGAAAATTTTCAAGTAACCAATAAAAAAGATTGCAAATCCCCATTCTGGCTCCATCATCAGATCAGCTCTATTGTATCAAATTCCTCAAGTTGCATAAATATCCCCTCAATCAAAATATAAAAACCCTTGGCCCATGGAGTCAAACTGCTAAACACTTCTTAAAAGACATAGCATCTCGTCCTATCGTCTCTACTGGTGACAGGAGAGCTGGCTCGTTTTGGCCAAAGAATTGGTATTGCCATTTACCGGGGGAATGCGGCTAGCATTCTTGCTACTATTCCGTGCGGACATTAGTTGCACAGTAAAAATTAAGTACAGATTTGTTTTGTACATATATGATAAAACTAGCATTGCCCGCGGCTTCGCCCGCGTTCAGATGACCAAAAACTAAATTCTTAGGTTTTACATATTAGTATACTCTTACATTGCAGTTTTCCTTATTTCATTAAGATTTTCCAAAAAATATCTAATGTACAGATTCGGCTTACAATTTTACTATATGTATAGATGAAGTATTTTTGTAACTTCAGTGTATTTTCTTTATTACAAATAAAGTTTTATTACTGAATTGACATACGGATTCCACATACCTACAAAGTTTCTTTACGACACGTAAAATAGGTTAATGGGAAGTTAAGCTCGACTGTGAAGATTTCATTACGTTGTTTTAAGTGAAGCTGATAAAAATGTGTAAAATCTGTGTTACATTTGAATAGTCTAAGTAGAAAGACACCGTTTGAGCTCTACATTGTACGTGCCATATATAATAGATGTCATATTTTATATTTTTGAACGAGGAAGTATGACATGAAGCATATATGGAGAGCCACAGGCACTAATTAGTATAAAAAGTTACTAATGTACTTTCTATACTATTAAAAGTCAGTGGTAGCCAAGTGCAAATACGCTCGCTTGGGAAACTGAGTGAAGCGGGTTTAAACCCCGGGTACCGCACCTCTGATATTTGCATGTGCAAATCATTTATAAAATGATTACCACTGTTCTTACGGTGAAAAAAAAACATTGTGAGGAACCTGTATAATATCTGAGAGAACCTAACAAGTTACGAAACATATGTGAAGTCCACCCCGCACTCGGGCAGCTTGGTGGGCTATGACCTGATTCCTCTCCCATTAAAGAGAGGCCTGTGCCCAGCGGTGGGATGTTAAAAAGTTAAGGGAAAATACAATATTATTAAAAACAAACTTTTTACAAATATTATACTAGGTAGATAAATGTACAGGCTTAAAATATGCAAAGATAAATTCTGTTTGGGGTTTCAATTATAAAATAAACAAGCTGCGGCTCGCCCGCGGGCGACTGACATGCCTGAATAAGAAATTTAGACTAAAAACAAAACTGTACCTTTTATTTGCGCTTCGTAGTATATAAGTAGCTAGATTGAGGAAAGTAAAATAGCTCGGAGCTAAAGAGATGAATATTTGTTCAGGACTTTACTTGTTCTAAGTTGGAACAAATTTGTGTACATTTTGGAATAATTAAAGTTAGACAAGTAAATATATCTTTTAAAATTATAATAATTTAAAAACAAAAACATTTTTGACCAAGTGTAATGTGACTTAGGCCCAATCAAACTCGTCACATTGGACCAAATAAATTAACTAACTATTACTGTATATAAGTATATGTATACGTACAAACTATAAGTGAAGCTAACAAAAACCTTTAGAAGCTCAACTTCTTAAGATACTGTTGTATCCTAATTAAGAATTCTTCAATGGTTTCTGGTTAAATAAGGAGAATAACAAATTAATAATTTTCGTAATTAAAAACTTTAATTAGTAGGTATTAGGAGCTTCACCGACCAGCTTCTCTTCACCACACTTCGTTCTTTTTTATTTCTTTTTTGGATATAAAACCTATGTCAGCACTATTCCAAACAATTAAAGGAGAATAATAATCTAATGTCATTTTTGACCTATCAAAGTGTCTGTCCGCCACTGAAAGTTTTGTGAAGATCGACAAAGCCGCTCTAAATCTAAAAATTAAGAGATAAATCCTTCGATAATAAAATCTGACTCTATCTACAGAAAAAGCTATTTTTAAAAGCTGTAAAGATGGAAGTTACGAAGTGACAGATGGATATAAGGAAAATATTTTAATCTATACATAATAATAAAATTGTAACTAAGCCGAATCTGTACATTAGATATTTTTTGGGAAATCTTATTTAAATAGATATTATTAGCGATACAGAGGCCGAATCTATAGTTTTTAGAATTTTTGTCTGTCTGTCTTTCTTTTCGTCTATCTGTCTGTGATCGCATCACAGAAAAATTACTGGAGAGATTTTGATGAAATTTCGTATGATGATAGCTGGTCATCTGGGTCAACATGTAGGATACTTTTACTGCGAGAAAATATCTCATCTCTGAGAAGTCTATATTAAACGTTAAAACGTAAGTAGTGACGAACCCGAGCGGAGCGACGGTGAGTCACTAGTGATTAATAATATCGGGGGGCACGGAGTGCCCCCGCCAAGTCGAGCAAAAAAGGGCACGACAGTACCATCCTTTTCTCGAAGCGATTCAGAGCATTTTCCACCCCCCCATAACTTCGTTATGGATAAAGCTAGAAACCTGAATTTTCAGTGACTAAAAGAACATATTAAAACTAGGCATATTTCCAAATTACAGTCAATTTGAACCTGTAGTTTAAGAACTGTTGCAAATCAAAATTCGTTAATATCGTCACTCACACACTCACTCACTCACTCACCGATCATCAAAATTCTAAGGTACTTCTAGCAGACATAGGAGTTTCAAATTTTAAACACAATTAGTGTTTAGCCTATAACGCAAGGAAAAACTTAAACATCATGCAATTTCAATCCTGTTTTCGAGATATACAAACTGCATAAGTAACTTTGTATTCCTATACAAATAGATATGCGATATATGGGATTACAAAGTTATTTTTGCAGTTCATACATATCATTTTTCGTCACTTAAACTACCCAAATGTATAGCAGGGTAAATAGTGGATATGCTGTAAGTGTTAGCGACGACTAAAATGTAATTATCAATATTGTAAAGAGTTTTAAGAAATAATATATTTAATATATAAATTAAAACTTATATGTATAAAAGATCTTAAATATAAAAAAAATATACAAGTAATCGAACACTCGTGTGTTCCGTAGCGAGAGTCGCCCGGGGGAATTCGGGTGGTATCCGTAATAGGATTTCCAAACTATAAAAAAAAAAAGTACAGAGCCCTCGGAGCGTTAGTTTGTCTTCTACTATATATATATTTAGTCTAGTAATGTTAAAAAAACACAGGAATAACTCATATATTATTTTATTAACTTAAATATCCAACTTAAAATATATCTTTCTCAGAGTTCCGTTTGTTATCACTAAGTATTAAATTTGTTAGTCAATTTCTCCACTTTAACGACGTCAAGGAACGCTAGAAGGTTTAGGTATTTTTTAAAATAATAGGTCACAATAACATAGCACATAATATAAATATTTTGATATAAATAAACTTCATCATAGCTTGCCTTAATTTGTGCCGTTATGTCAAACATAAATTTCGTTTAAAAATCATAAAATATTTTAATTAAATTTACACTATTTTTTCCTTACATTATTTAAATTAAATATTATTTTTACATTTCCCGATATCTTACTTTTATTTTTTTCACCTCATTCATATATTCTTATAAAATTTATAATTAATGGTAAATTAATTATACAATAGTTGCACTGTAAAAGGTTAGTGTTTTACCTGTAGGTATGTATGTTTGTACGTCCGATCCTATGTTCCTTCGTAATTACTAACCTAATTTCGATTGGTCTATTTATTAATGTTTATATTTGCAGTTATATGTATTAGAAAAGTATTTTTAAACGCGAAAATAATATTTTAAGCTTTTTTAGTAGCTGTATACATTTTTATGCATATACAAATGGGTACATAAATGTAATGTGAAGCGTGTATAGTTTATACCTACTAATATTCGATTACTGTTATTTATAATGAATTGATTAAAATATATACCTAATTAAGAAACAACTTGACGATTACTTAATTTTGAAACAAAGCTCGTACATTTTCTTTTACAAAGTATGATGTTGATATGAATTAGAAAACCTTCTCAACATCTCATTGCTCGTAATTGTACCCACCTATTAGAACATGGAATATAGAGGTCATGAAATATCAATCTCTTCGAAAATTACTTTTAAAATGGAATGGAATACAACTTTCGGGATTTAACTACGATGCTGCAGATAGACACATAAATCTACACGTCTTATTAAACTTATGTAAGTCGAATATCAGTATCGGGGTAGGTATTTAGGGTCAACAATGAAATTAAAATATTCGTTAAATTAACTATACATATTTATACTTAATGCATAAGATAGTAGTATTAAAGTCCAGGAGTCCGTAATTTCCCAATACAATAGACTTAGATTTTTTATCATCCAGACTTGTCAAAATTTGTTACCTATATCAAAGCCTCTGAAAAAAGCCCACAGAGACAAGGAGTGGGCTTTTAAAAAGTCCTTACCTGACACACAAGAAATAGTACAAGAAAAGAGAAAAAGAAGAAATATTTACAAAAAGAAATGAGATCCCATCAAAAACATTCTGTAAAAAAATTGCAAGTCTCGCAACGCATTTCTTCTACCGCAAAAAGCTATGAGATGTAATGTAAAACCAAGTCGGTTAATTTATTCATTACCTATCTATGGAAGCATCTATCCGACAACTTTGTCATAAATCGTTACCGAATTAGTTAAGTTACAACATTTTATAGTGACCGTATTAATATTAGATATATTTATTTCTTTAATTAATAGAATGACTTGGCCATCGCACATGATAATAGAATCTACAAATAACAAAATTTACCTAAAATTAGCGTTCTGAGTGCATTATTTATGTTAGTGTATGCATAAATTTGAGCCGCTAGTGCTATGTTCAGTTCATCTCAGCCCAAACACGTCCACAGCTGGACCCCCAAAAAGTTCCACGACAACCAGTCTTGTGCTATCCGCATCCAGTGGGCTCCAGCGACTTTGACCAAGTCGTCCGTCCACCTTGGTCATGATATGTTTAATTAGGACTATGTAAAGTAGTAGACTCATATGTGATTATGTTTCCGTGCGAGGGACAAGTCATTCTATTAATTAAAGAAATAAATATATCTAATATTAATACGGTCACTATAAAATGTTGTAACTTAACTAATTCGGTAACGATTTATGACAAAGTTGTCGGATAGATGCTTCCATAGATAGGTAATGAATAAATTAACCGACTTGGTTTTACATTACATCTCATAGCTTTTTGCGGTAGAAGAAATGCGTTGCGAGACTTGCAATTTTTTTACAGAATGTTTTTGATGGGATATTATTTAAGCTCACATTTTATTTAGAGGTAGATAGGCATAGATTATATATATACACACACACACACACATATATATATATATATATATATATATATATATATATATAGATGGGAATATAATAAAGAAATCAAATTCATGACTCACGATAAAGGACTGTTGAACAAAGAAAAAGCAAAAGGTCTTACAAATTCCTTACTGGTTTTCATTAGGCTCTGTTACGTCGAACAAAGCACCTACATTTGTTATGGCAGATTACATTTTTATGTTGGAGTATGTTTATATACGCCGGAGCTAATGATATTACTACAAAACGTAGTACCATTAGTATAGGTGATATTAAATTATCCTAATGAAGTCATAATTACAGCACACAACACCTTATTTGTAACTAATGACATACGCTTTATTTTCTTGGACGAGTCCCAATATTTCTTGTTTCAAGTCTGAGTCTGTGTTTTAAATTTCATCCAAATCCGTCAAGCCATTTCAGCGTGAAGAATAACAAATATACATACAGACACAAACTTTCGCATTTTATAATAATAGTGTGATTTTAAGAAAGCAACGCGGTTTTTTACAAATGGAAATTTTATGAGTTGAGAGAGTGATTTGAGCTACCTTCATCTCTCTACATCAAGTGGATCTCATTTCATTAAGTATAACTGTCATCCGATAGTTAAATCAGCTCTAAAATATAATTGAACTAACCTGCGATATATTCCATCCTAGCAACAGGGTCCGTCTGTTCGGAAGCCATCCGTAAGAGATGAGCGTACTCTAAATACTCCAGCATACGCTGCAAAAAGGACAGCGGCTCGTTGAAAACGACCGGCATCGTGATCTTGGACAGTTCCTTTCCCACACAGTTCTTCAGGACCGACCAGAGTGAGAAGTCACCTCGGCTGAATTGGGCAACCGGCAGTGAGGTCCTGGGAACAAAATATGTGTTAAAATAAGCTATCTAGTATCTGTAATATACTAGCATAAGCCGGTTTTCCTCGAATACTTTAAGGATAATGGATTCTCCATTCTACACGACATTGGTAAAGTAAATTGTGCCCAAATGGCACGCCTATAAGCCACAGAACAAAGAACATTGAACATTGAAAATAAGATATAATTTATATTTATTTTATATAATTTATATTTATTATGTATAATTTATATGTATTTATTTATTATTTATTGAAAATAATAGATTTTTCGTTGAACCGTCGAGTTTTCAAAAAATTAATCTTAGTCACAGTCACCAAAAATCTACCTGCCAAATTTGTAACATTTATATTTGATTTTTATATTATTATTTTAATACTATATTTTATTTCATGAATAAATAAAATAATTTGTGAGGTATTTCGCTATTTTATTATATTAGCACAAAATTGTGCTTATACACAACTAGTCCAGAAATATTTTTCGAATCTATGGCAGTGAATTTAGTTACGTCTTTAGATTGCTCTTTACTTTAGCCTTAACATTTGAAGGGCTTAAATTAACGTATATAAATAGATTTGTCCTAATGATCCTACAGTTAGTTATATCACATTAAAATACAGCATTTTACTTAAATCAAACAAGAGAACGGATGATAAAAGAAAATTTCGTTTTTCTGACATTATTATGGACATAAAACAAGAGCGAAGTACATTAATAAAGCCAATTTCATCCATATATGAGAAGAACGTATCTCTAAAGTCAATAATAAACTTATTAGCGAACAACGTTCTTGTCTCACGTACACAATTTATAATACCAATTTTTGGTAGAAATAAAGTAAGTGTACCTACATACCGTAGAATATAAGTGCCGGCTTGAAGTGTTTTAATAAGTACCTATATTTTTTCAGGTATAATTTACGATCTATCTTATATATTTATAAAATAAATATATAAGACAGATCGTAAATTGTGATCGTAAATGTCTTATCTATATATATAAAAATGAATCCCTATTTCCCTTGGTCACGCCATCACGCGTGAACGGCTGGACCGTTTTAACTTTTTTTTGTTGTGTTTGTTATTGTCAGGAAAAGGTTCTTATGAAAGAAAAAATTGAAAAATTAACGAAAAACAATTAAAATGTTTATAGGTAACGCTGGCTAATAACTATTTATAGTATATTTATAAAATTAGCAAAGTTAAGAAATTGCTGTCAAAGTGTGTAAAGTTGATTCTTACTAGGATCAAATCCCATTCATTCTTAAATCTAGAATTATTAAGCTAGATTTAGTATGGAAATCTAACATCCAAAAATATAAAAATAATTGCTACATATATTTAAAAAAGTTCCAAAAAAAAAATCATAGCTCCGTTTTCCGCTCATGTCATTGGGTTAAACGATTATGTAAGCACAGGTCATGGGAAACACGCAACACCATGGCTTAATGATGGCGTTATTCGTAATAAATCATAGCACGAAATATGGTTATTTTCTCAAATTTCGTAAGAAATTCCTTTTAAAATTTGAATGACTAATATAAAATACTTTATATGCGTACTACCTATTCTAAGTATAGGTATAGAAATATTTATATTTGAGGTAGGTATCTATATACAATATAATAATATAATATAATAATAAATAAAATACATATAAATAGATAAAGACAAAACATTCCGGTACCTTTTTCTCTTTTCCTCCTCCTTAAATGTCCAATAATTATTATAATAGGTATAAATTTTTATTTTACTTTCCCTAATATGATCCCAGTTCGTAGCTGTTCTCCGGGAACGCTCAAGGTCGTCTCACCGATCAATACGCACGGAGACTGAGAAGAATCTATATAACGTACCCTACAGTTATACTGTGGGGTCCTTCGAGTGCTGTATGACCGTGACCTGATTATATTTGTTTATGGTACTTTTGTTCAAGAGTTCATTAGCTGGTTTATGTTATATATTGATCGGTAACCTTCACCGTGGTTTTAGTATTTAAAATTTATTTATGTTCAGGTGACGACATCTATTGGCAACTTTTATTATTAGCAATGGCCTAGTGCAGTCTATCTGTGTATGTGAGAAGTAACGACATACACATGTACATACACAAATATTTGTTTGTTATTTATATCTAACAGTAGTGTGATAACATGTCCTAAATAATAAATATATAATTAACTTATATAAATAGTAACAGCATGAAACAAGTGATAAATTAAAAATTTAAAAAACCCCCGATCATCTTAGACCGATTTTCATGAAACATACCTACCTAAAAACACTCCTGACTAATTCACCTATCAAATTTAAAAAAAAGAACAAAATCGGTTCATCCGTTCGGGTGCTACGATGCTACAGACACACACACACATTCGTTTTTGCGTCGGGGGTTCAAAAGAACGAATTCGCATAAATAATTCATTCCATATATAATAATCTAAATTCTTTTGTAAGTATTATATTTTTTATTTTACACTATTTAGATTATTTCAATATGTGCGCATAAACTTCGTATTTCCTTTGCCTACCTCAAACTTCTTTATAGTAGAGATCTTCTATTTGTAATTTTCCATTAAAACTTGTTTCTTTATTATTTAGAAATCTAAAAAATATAACTTATTTATCGAAATGCAAAAAATATAACGAATATAGTTAAAATTCTAAGAAATAGACGGCAATAAAATATTATTTACTTATGTACATAAGTCTTTAAGCGTGAGGAAGTGGAGTATCCTATATAAGGCTTCCACCCCAAACTAATCTATTATTCCGCCTGTTAGCACCAAAACTATCTTATCTCATTAGTAACATGATCTTTAAAAGAAATGATTGTTTCTTATGGGCTTTCCTGTTATAATACAATCATTTCGAACTAAGTAAATATGTCCCGTGCCCATGTTTCCATGTGATTTGTATAGGATACTATGATGCTAAGGCGGTGGTAGTCCATTGGTAAAGCGCTTGCTTGGGAAACATCGGGTTCAAATCCCAAATCGCATCTCTGATTTTTTTAAGTGGGAATATTTTTTCAAAATGATCATGATTATTACGTCGAAGGTACGGTCTGAGATAGCAAGTATCGTGTCTGAGAGAATCTAGCTAGCAAGTCTTTGAAAAACATATCAAGTCTTCCAACCCGCACTGGGCCAGCGTGGTGGACTCCATAGTCCGTTCCAGAGTGTAGACCCCTGAAAAAGGCCCTGATATAGACTCTTGTAATTATAAAGTAATAAACCTACAATTTTACCTACTTTTAAATGTATTTAAATAAAGCAAAATATGTTTATATTGTGTAGGTATCTATATATCTAATCCTAATTTAATTTATAGCTCCCATAGATATGTTTTAAACCATCATATATAAACTGATAGTATGGAATAAATAGACAATATATACATATACAAATATAGGTATGATGAGTTCGACGACACGTTTGGCTCAATGCCCCACTTGCTGTGCCAGCGGTCGCGGGTTCCAGTCCCGCTGGGGGCATTCATTATGTGATAAACACGAATGTTTGTACTCCAGTCAATGGCATTTATATTTATAATATGTATGTATTTAAAGTTTATATATGTGTAGTGTATCAACTATCTGGAATCCATAACACAATTCTCGTAGTTTACCATGGAACTAGATAGTGCTGTGTGTTAATGTCACAACATTTTATTTATTTTATTATGAGTTGTATATCCCTTTCTTGAGAAATAATTGATTTCCCATGCAAACTTTCATCCCCTTATTCACTTCCTTAAGGGATGATTTTCAGGATAAAAATATGTATATATAACCTATGTTATTCCCAGGATTTCAAACTATCTTCATATCAAATTCCATCTAAATTGGTTCAGCGGATTTTTAGTTTATCCATTACAAACAAACATACAAAAAACACATTTTTTTTCTTTATATAATAGTAATATACAGATGTAAGCTATGTAAAGTTTAATAGGCAATTCAGCGCAACAGCGATTTCTAATTAGGTTGTCGACGAACTGCCGCTTGATTAAAAAATATAATAAAATGAAAAAGGAAAACGAGAACTTTACAAATATAGGAATTGCGAGATAAGTGTACGTGAAATGATATTTAAGGAGCAAAATAAGACGCTTAAGTAATAGAATGGAATGAAACATGAATAAAAGAAGGAATATTTATCATAACAGTGACACGACAGCAGTGACATCTTCCACAACCAGGGGTTGACTGGAAGAGATCTCTTTTAGAGATAAGTCCACCTTTGTGAACTATGTTTACTTTGTTATTTTTTCTGTATCATATTTTAAGTGCAATAAAGAATATAACACGACGATACGCGTAAACATTGTTTTCTCTAATTTGAATAGAATAAATAGTATGTGTGTAAAAAACGCTTTTATCCCCGGATCCTACATAAATGGTAGGCAGAAGTCGTTGCGTTCGCAGAAATCTGTTGAAAAGAGTGTTAATATTAACTAGCATTGCCCGCGGCTCTGAACGCGTTCAGATGATCAATAACCAAATTCTTAGGTTTTACATATTAGTATACTCTTACATTGCAGTTTTTGTATTTTTTCTCCGAAATAAGACATTTTTACGCGGTAAAAAGTATCCTATATGTTGACCCGAATAAACACGTATCACCATACCCAATTTCATCAAAATCCCTCCGGTGGTTTTTCTGTGATGCAGTAACAAACAGACAGACAGACCGACAGACAGACAAAAATTCTAAAAACTATAGATTCAGCCTCTGTATTGATAATAATGTTTATTTCAATAAGATTTAACAAAAATAATTTAATGTCCGGATATTTTTTTGTGGGATACATATTACACTATAACAATGTAATAAGTAAATATAACATTAAAAATATTATAGGAGCAAAACTCAAATTCATCTTGTCGCTTTCATGTCATAGTACGAGTAACTCACTGTTTGATTGTAAAAGAAAACTCAAGTCCTCAGTGTTCGGCAGGGGAGACTAAAAATAGATATAATTCAATCAAA